ATATCTGTCTGTCACACACACATAACATGTAAATCATATGCAAGGTAATAGAACAAATAGGGTAAATTAATACTCAGTGAATCTAGCTAAAATGAATATTCTCTGTAATAATCATATTCTTGTATCTTAGTGAGTTTGGAATTTTCAGAAACATGATGGCTTTGGGGGAGCCTTTCTTGAACCTTTGTATGTGTCTTAAATGCCCACAAAGATTCTCTAAGAAAAGGCTTCTCCTATGAAATGGTTTCTATTTGGGAAGGGGTTCTCCGAGCCTGAAGTACTTTCCTTCCCAGGACACTGTTCAGCGGGAAGGGCCTTCATTAGGGAAGCAACTCAAGAAGCTGGTCTGGAAAACGGTGTCTGCTTAAAGGAGTTGTTAGCTCAAGAATGGACACCATTTTTGGGAGAACATGGGGTTGTCAGTTATGGCATGTTCACATGTAACTTTAGCATTAAACAAGTGACGGCGTGCGTGAGTCAGCAAACCTCATTTCCTTTGGAAAGTTACGGGTGGAGCACCTTGAGAAGGTGAAAAAGCAAAACTCAAAAGGCTCCTAGCGACGGTCTTTATCCTCTTGTGTTCTTTTCACTCTGGCTATCTGCATGTTTAATTCTGTTTACTCTTGTGCTCAGCGTGCAGATGGGCTGATTTGTTTGCCTTCTCTTCCCTCCATGTGGAAGGAAATTCAAATGGAAAGAACCCAGACACATGTGCCTGCTGACACATTTTTGCTTTTGGTTTGGTGTATTGTGTGTGGGGGGGTGGGGGTATTTCTGTGTGTGTTTCTATGTGGCTATCTATGTGTATTTGTGTAGATGTGTGTATGGATAAGTGCAGTTGTGTGTTTTGTATAAGGAGGCCAGAGGTCAATGCTCAGTATCTTCCTCCGCTGCTCTCCACATTTTTTTTAAATTTATTTTTGCTTGTTTGTTTGGAGACTTCCACTGCTGGGGCCTTGCCAATTGTGCTGGGCTCTCTGACCACTGAGCCTGTCCTCACCCAAGTGCTGGTGCTACAGGTCAGCTGTACTGGGCCGGCGTTTGATGTGGTGTTAGCTGACTGAATTTGGTCCTCATGCTGTTCAGCAAGTGCCTTATTGGCCAAGCCAGGTCCTTGGCTTTTGATCTCACTATACAGTGCTTTCTCGACTCGAACTTACAGACATCCTCCTGCCTCTGTCTTGCTTCCCAAGTGCTAGGATTGCGGGGGTGCAACCACACTGGCTCTATTTTGGTTTTAGTTGTAGGAATATTTGGCTCCAGATATTCTAGGTTACTAATTTGTAATTTACTGTAATTTACCCAGTTCCCCCAAAGCAATGCTAATTTCATAATTCTCATATATATATTTAAAAGCAAATATCCATAGCTGATGATATAAAATTAGCTGAAATACCAGGAACCCATATATACTGCAGTCTACAATTTTATGCATGCTAAATCTGAATGCTGTAGAATTGTTTTTCCTTATCATTTTTTGTTGTTGTTGTTGTTACGAAAATGTTAAATGTCAGTGACCCGACAGAGAGTGTCATGTGAAGACTAGTTCTGAGAGCCCAGCTTCAGCAAGGAGCATACAGTCTTGTTCCACTAGAGCTCCGAACTTTCCCACCCCATCCCCAGGGGATCCCTTTTGAAGACAGCATCAGATGCCCTCCTCTCACTTACAAATGCAACAGTGTTATCTCCTCGCGAGAAATACCACATCTCTATACAAAGTAACCTAATGGTGATTTCCTCTCACTTACAAATGCAACAGTGTTATCTCCTTGTGAGAAATACCACATCTCTATACAAAGTAACCTAATGGTGATTGTAATTCAAGGCAATTAAAATCTCAGCTTCAGATAACCTTGGAGTTTCCCTTTTGTTTACCGCCTTTCTTGGTGATATTTTTTGGTATGCAAAGTGTTCAATGTGACACTTACACACACACACACCACTGTACTTTGTTCATATTCGCACCCCCCCGCCCCTGACCACATCCCCATTATTGCCTTTCTCTTTGGTCTCTAACCCTCTCTCAACAGTAGTGAGACTCACAAAGACAACAGCGTAGCTCAAGGTCCGGAAACCTCCAGGCTGGCAGTAGCCCACAGTTAATGCTCACATGTTGAAGTCCTATAGCTTTAATAGCTTAAAGAATCCTCTATTAAAAAAAAACAGATGCAGGAAGTTAAGTGCATATCATCTAATCAATTTTTACAAGACGAATACTCTTTTAGCTACCCCTAAGGTCAACTCAGATCTCGCCATGATGATTGACCCAGATTCCCTCCACCCGGAACACCACTGATCCCGCCTCTGTGGTTGCCCCAGACCTGCGTTGCTCCAGAGCCTTGTTGCTCTCAAGAGCAAACCTGGATTGCCATCTAGCTCTGGAAGCTCCCTTTTCTTAGTACATGTTTTTGAAGCAGGGTATCTTGTAAGATGGCGTCCCTGCTCATGGCAGCAAACGCTCACTGCCTCTCATCCATCAGCTGTAACCGGGTTTGATGGCTTTGAGCAGTCTTCTTCGATGCACCATTGCTACAGCAAATGGAGGCAACTAAACCCACACAATGATTAAAAGCAAACACTTTCCTTCCCAATGTGAGTAGACAAATGTGTCCAAAATGCTTTGATCTAGATTGAGGTGGGAGGCACAGAGGACATCTTCATAATCTCAGCCAATCCTGAAGAGCCCACAGTCAGCATTACACTGCATCTTGATTAACTTCCGTGGTGGTGATGGGGAGGTTTCCTCTTAGTTGTCATGACAATATTCTCATCCTTTCCAATGTATAAGCAATTAGAGTGTGCCTGGGGGGTAAAAAAGGCAATTTCTAGACAAAGGTGTTGCTGTAGGATAGTTAGTGTGAAACAAAGACTAGATGTCTTATATCTTTTTGAAAACATTTCCTCCTACACCGTTATTGGTTAGGGGAAACAATATGGCTCAAAATGACAAGTATGTGATTGGAGGAAGTATGTAAAAGAGCATCCATCACAATATCAATTCCCACTTCATATGGTCGACCTTTCGATTGCTTGTATATTGTGAATCGAAGTTTCAGAAGAGCTCATGCTACAAAGTGTACCCACTTCAGGAACAGTGTCAGTGCAAGCTTTCTGCAAAGGAGATGGGGAATAATTGGGAGACATTTGTCTTCATTTATGTTTCCTAGTCAGACTTAGGTAAGACGGGAACTGGAAAATATGTCTACATTAATATTCATATTTGATGAGGAGGATTGCAAGAACATTATTGCTTATCACTTGGTTCTCGTTAAATGGTTTGCATCTTGATGAGAATAGGGACTGGAATTAATTAACTAATTACACTTTTTTCCTTCAGATTTCTTTCTTGCTATGAATCTAAGCCATTGGAAAGAAATCATATGGTATTGATTATCCATTGCTGGTAATAGAATATTATTACAAAAAATGATTGTCTTTCTTTTGAAATTGCTTTATGAAACTTCAAAAAATAATACAGATTTAGGAAGTCCTAAGGGTGCTAATAAAATGCAGCATTGTTTAATTTAGATTGTTCTTATTGCTCAACAGCATCTTAGCAGGAGAAATAATTATGATGCTACTATGCATTCACACTGTTCCTGTGTTATTTATATTTCCTATTAATATTATATATGACAATAAAAGTTCATCTGAAAAAGCCCACTATTCTCTGAAACTGTGAGGCTGTTATTAAATCAGTCTTTAAATTTAGTTCTACATCACACATTTATTTATCCTTAGAATTTTTTAAATTTGTTATTGTTATTGTGTGTGTGTGTGTGTGTGTGTGTGTGTGTGCAGGGGAGGTGTGTGGACACAGAGTGTGTGGTAGTCAGACAACTTTGTGTGGTTAGTGTCTGCTTCCACCTTTTTGTGATCTATAGGGATCAAACTTAAGCCACCAGGCTTGGCAATAAGGGCATTTGCTCACTGAGACAGCTGAAATGATTAGAAATTATTTATCTATGAAATCCTGGCATCACATTAAGCTCTTGAAGAACCAAATAAAGACCTTTGTTCTAAATTTTATAGTATAAATTTCCCTAAGAGGAAAGACACATGGCTTCAAGATCTGTTCACTATTTCTTAACTGTCACAAATGTCCTTCTAGAGGACAAGGACTATCATATTTCACGGCTTGCTCTCAAGGTCATCTGTGGACAGTCTCAATCTACCTGCTGATCTCGAGAAATTTTAATCACGACAGTGGCACATTCCCACCTTTTGATATCACACTGTGGCTGCTCTTGGCAGTCAATATTCAAAAGCGTGGCATCTAGTTCTTCCTCCCTTCTCCCCAAGAGAGGCCAGGGATGTCTCCTCCTAAGGAATAGATATTCTCTGGCTGTATCTCTTTGTCAAAGAGTCCTCCTCATAATGAGGCAATAACCTTTCTACATAGAGAATCTTAAAGGAAATTTTTGTCCCTGTTGTGAAAGAAGTAGTATCTCTGCCTGGATGCCCACAAAGTACTGCCTTTGTGTGCTTCCCCCGCTTTTCCATGGGATTTAAAGCATCCTTTACACTGATGTACCGACCGCCGTCTGGATTACACGGCAGTGGGCAGTTTATTAAAGGGAGGTTTTACAAAAGGGACCTGCAAGAGCCTCTTGTGTGCTTTATACTGCGAAGTGCAAGGACATCAGATGTCAGAGAATTCATTTTTATGTGATCATGAGTCCCTCCTCGCTGTTGTAGGGAACGTAAGACCAGTGATCCTTCTCAAAGTGTAAATCCCCACGTTCATACTCAGGAAGCACAAATAGGATGCAGATGAGGGCATACAGGGCTTAACGTGTCTTTCCGCAGCTACCAATAGTGCTCACGGTGACAGTGCCTTGGCAAGGCATCCTATTGTATAGACCGGTTCTGCTCCCCCTTGCATCCCCTCCATGCCATTGTCTTCTATCCAGGGAGAAGATCAGAACATTCCAGCCACCAAAAATACGGGCGGCTGTGTTCTTGCAAGTCGCCCCTCTTAGCATTGGGGAATATTCAAACAAGCTTAAGAAAAAGCACTTGCTTTCAAGGACCCTGGGCTTACACAGAGCCAGGAAAATGTGGTCTAGAGACCCACAAACGAGGCAGTGGTGTTTGAGTAGTAAAGGGAAGGGGAGGAAATACATATTGATCATCTAAGTGCGTCCACATGTGATCTCATGCAATTCTAACAGTCAGCATCCCCCCTGGGAGGATTACTCTCATCCATTTTCTTTCTTAGATAAAAAATGGAGGCACACGGTGAAGGTCACGGGCTTTTAAGTGGCTCTGTCTGAGTCTGAAGCCCACGCTCATTTTTGAGAGAAACACAATATTAAACTTTGAGGGGTGGGGGGAACGCCACCTCTCACTGAAATGGCGAGGGACGGCAAGCCTAGAGAGAGAGGAGAGCTTTGCAGTGCCTCGGGAAAGGTACGGGTATAGAAAGGCAGGTCCCGGAGAACAGGTCGTGACAATGAAGCTAGAATTGGCCACTGTGGCCCCGAGGAATGGGACCACTGGTGGAACACGGAGGCTCTGCTGTCTTCTGCAACCAGCAGGACCAAAGGGAACTTCTGGTTGAGATCAAGGCACAATCACGTTTTCCAAACCAGAGGATGCTGGTAGAATACCAAAGCCATTGCAGAGGGTAGGGACAGGCCTCCGACTTCCCTGGCATCCATGCTCCTGCTTCCCGCCTTGGCCCGGAAAGCTGCCAACCCTGCTTTGTGTGGTCTGGGATGGACGTGCCCATTCCCACCCGTGAGAGACTTACATCTCCTTCATTGTAATTGTGCCGTGGAGAAATGCTTCTGTGTCTGACAAGAAAAAAAAAGCAAGGCAAAAATGAAGGCAATTAGAGTTCGTTATTCTGTAATTAAAATAACAATCTTACTTCCCAAGAAAGCTCAGTGATTTATTTCTGAAAAATCTTTGAATAAAGCAAGTATGCGTTTGGATTTGGGAAGAGTGATGGAGGAGGAGGAAGAGATCCTGAGGCCCCCGACACATCACACAGATGCCCTCCCCAGACTCGTATTTCAAACTTGTGGTGGTTTTTAGTTCTAAATTCCAGAATCCAGAATGTCTGGGTACACCTTGCCACTTGTTCACAAGAGGACTCTGGTAGAATGCTATGGTGTGTGACTTTTGTTCATGCTGCATTTGTTTAACTCAGTGAAGCTGTGGTTACTTTGCCTGTCTGAAACACCTGGTGGTCCCAATAAAGAGCTGAACGGCCAATAGCGAGGCGGGAGCAAGGACGGGCAGGACTGGCAGGCAGAGAGGATAAGCAGAAGGAGAAATGAGGTAGAAAAGCAAGAGGACAAGGAGAAGAGGAAGTCAGGGGCCAGCTACCCAGCCACACAGACACCCAGCCACCCAGCCACCCAGCCACCCAGGCAGCCACCCAGCCACCCAGACACCCAGGCAGCCACCCAGCCACACAGACACCCAGACACCCAGACAGCCACCCAGCCACACAGACACCCAGGCAGCCACCCAGCCACACAGACACCCAGGCAGCCACCAAATAAGAAGGTATACAGAAGAAAGATAAAAGCCCAGAGGGAAAAAGTAGATGGGTTAGATTAACGCTAAGAAAAACAGGCAAGAAACAAGCCCAGCTAAGGGCATTCATAAACAACAATAAGCGCGCGCGCGCGCGCGAGCGCGTGTGTGTGTGTGTGTGTGTGTGTGTGTGTGTGTGTGTGTGTGTGTGTAAAAGCCAAAAGAGTAAAAAATAAATACAATAGAGGATGGCATGGGTGCAGCTACTCTCCAGTGTGCTGTTGTTACAGGATGAGGTGGAATCCAGTGCTTGAAGACACAATATACTCAGATACTGCAGAGGTGCCCAGACCTGGCATCTCAACGACCTTCCATTTTCCCGGCTCTCTGGGTTGGTTTCTTATTAGAATCATTGATCATTAGGAGAGAGAGAAAGAGAGAGGAGGGAGGGAGAGGCATAGTTTCCATGCCCCTTCACAGGCAAGAAATCCCAAATAATTGACCTGGGGGCATTGTTCCCTCTTTTTAAAAATGGGATCTTGTCTGCAGAGACTAATTGACATAGATTCCAGACTACAGTTTGGTAAATTAAACACGTTTCTAAAGCTAAGATGTCCAGATATTCAGAGGCTACACATTCCTTGATCTTCACGCAATAAGTTGAGCATCTGCGGCACTGGAGGAAAATCAGAGAGACTTGAAAAAACAGGAATGATCCCTAAAAGTGCCTTTATAAGAATGCATTTCGGGTAGTATTTACTCAGAAAGGAGATTTGGCATGACCATTGTTTTTTCTTTCAGGCTACATAGTTTGGAACATTGAGTTTATGAAAGCACACACAAACGATGTATTGCAAATCACGTCCTTTGAGAAACAGCCTGTCTATATGAGGTTCAGGGTTACTCCAAAGGGGCCTGAGCTCGTACGGTGGCTCCTGGCTCTATGGTCGCTCCTGGATGAGAATCGGGGAGCACTTGGAGCCCTGCCAGCACCAGCAGGTCTAAAGGCAAAAGCCTGGTTTTGGACCACGCTTCCAAACCAAAGATCCCTTGTGAGCAAAAACTCCAGAAAATACCCAGGGACCAAAGCCAGATCAGGAATTTGGGGAACTCGAACCAAGGACCTAAGACCCAGTCTACTCGTGGTCACAATGCAAGCTGCTTCAGACACATTGACACAAGAGATTGGGAATTGCTTTGGTGTGGGAAGAGACAGGTAATTGTGTAAACAATTACGCATGCAAGATATAACTTTATTGTTGATGTTCATTGCTGGAACCAGGGTTTGGAAGCTCGGAGTTTCGGTTCTTATTGGTTAGTGATAATGAGCAAACAAACTCAGCCACACAGGGGAATCACACATGCTCTCCATTTTAACTAACATCGGGCCTAGAAAAATACCGAGGTAAATTTAACATCCCAATTTCAGAGGAATGTTAAAAGTAAAGGAGTAAGTTCTGTGTGTAAATGTACCTTGATGAAAAGAAGACTCGGTGTTTGGAAAGGTCACACTGGCACCGTCTCCCCCCTGGTGTGTTTATGTGCAGATGCACAGGAAGTGACTCCTAAAAGTGGATCGCGTTCCAAGGCAAGAGCTAACACCCGTGACAAGGATCATCTCACTCCATGTGACTCCGCCATTTTCATACCCATTTCATAGATAAAAGACCAGAGAAGGTCACTCATCTATGGCCACCCCCTAGCCGGGGCAGATGCTAGCCGACCATCCCCCGAGACAGTGGGACGCCATGGGCAGGGAGAAGCAGCGTTGCCACGTCAAAGCCATCGGAATGTCATTCATCGAGCAGCGCGAGAAGTAAACCTGCAGCTCTGCTGGGCTTGTCCAGACTCAGAGCAGGGAAAGCAAGTGGCTGGCCTCCAAGCGGGCATGCTCGGTCCTGACAAGGCGCGTCAAACAGCCTGCTGGTTGTTTTATTTGCTTCCCCAGCCTCTCTTACCCTCGGGCACCAACTTCAAAGGGATGAGAAAGGCAGCCATGTTTGCAGACAGGGCCGTGGACTGGCAGCTTCCTCTTCTGATGACCCTGTGAAGTCCAGAGGTTGCGGCTTTGTGTCTGCAGCAGGGGTTAGGCAGACAGGTGGGCAGCGGCCTGGCTGTGTGCACCGAGAAGGCCTCTGTATCGCCCTCTCTGCTGCAGCTCTTACCCGGGCCTCGAATCCCACTCTCTGATCTTTCTGAGAGACGTCGGTAATTAATACCCTCAGAAGACCAACCAAGCGCAGGTGCTGTGCCAAACAGTCCACACACGGCTCCTTCCAGCCTAATTCCCAGCCTATTTCAGGCAGGCCCAGTCACAGAGAAAAGTTAACAGAGGCCTGGAGACAGGGAACCTGTCCCCAGAGACTCTACTGTGACACAGTCGGATCAGAATACCCCTCCCCAACCCCGCCCAGACTATGAGCATCTTAACGACGGACTGAGAATGATGACATCGCCATTTCAAACATCTGCCTCAGGAAGCTGGGAAAGGGAAGAGGTTGTTTGTGGACTGTATTTATGATGCTTTTTGCTCACATAATTCCACTGAGCTCCTAAAAGCAGGTGTTAGTGAATGCAGAAACAGAAGCCTGGGAAAAGTGAACGCCCTGCTGCCGGCGGTCGAGCTGGGTTTCCACGCTGACTCCTGCTGTCTGGAAGGAGAATTGTGGCACTTTTCAGACCACGGGCCCGGCACGTCCTTCAGCCGCTTTGATTCTCCACCAGCCCACTGGGATGGCTGCTACTGCAGCCGTGACGCGATCGTTCTTGAAGTCACCGAGGCTACGGGAGGCTGTGTGTTTCTGAGATCACACAGAAACCCCGTGTCGGAACTCGAAGCTCGAAAACCCCGCATCGTTTCCTCCCTACCCACTAAAATGTATCGTGTGGGATATCCACGAACCTAGATGGCAGATGGAAAGAGAGGGGCAGAAAGCAGGGCGGCTGCAGTTTCAAAAGTGGTGCACCAGAGCAAGGCGGCATGCAACTGAGCTTGGGCGGAGGGAGACAGTGAATGGGAACGGGGGGGGGGGCAGGGCCCTTCTAAAAGGGAACGCAGTGAATACTCACAGGTGGTGCTCTTAGCGGCTGCAGCTGAGGGCGTAATCTGTCGGAATCCCAAGGGCAGGCCAGTACAGATGCCTGAACGCTAACAAGGGCTATGAGGGAGAGATGCTGCCAGGAGAAAGCGATGACTTGATGCGTCAACAAGAGGGCAGTCTCTTACAGGAACTTATCAGCAGACACACTGGGGCCACGAGGAGACTGCCTACGTTCAGACATGTCAGCAAAGGTCAGGAGAAACAGCGAATCCTGCCTCAAACTCATCCATTCATTCAACAAACGAATCCCAAACCTGTGCCGAGCGAGCGAGGGGGTACACGAGAATGAGCCACACAGACACGGACAGCTACACGGAGATGACAGTGCTGTGGGGAGCCACCTCCTCGGAGGCAGTCCTGGCCCTTGCACTCTGGGGAATGGGGATACCTAGTGTGTGTAGCATTCGTCGGGGTTTTGATATACTGTCACTTGCAACTCACCCAGGTCATGCCAATTGGCTCATAAAATCAAACACTACCCTTAGGATGCCATTGAAACCATCCGCTACTCACCTAACTCATACATAGCTCACAGTAAAAAGAGATCTTTCAAAATTGCTGAGGGGCTTAGGAACTATTTCCCAATGAGGAAAGTGGCATCAAAGTTGGGAGACTGTAGTGATTTGAGTTTTGTTCTAGAGTGACCAAAGTAGGAGGTCAGGGAATCCACAGCCCACCAAGAGAGTCCTAGTGGCAGAGCTAGCCCAGGCCTCTTACACTCAAGAGCTTTTGAACAAAGAAACAATAATTCAACAACCAAGCGTCTCCCAGGACCAGAGACATCTAAACACTCCCATCCCCAGCAATATCAGAGCTTATTTATAGAAAAATGGAGGCAAGTCAGAGAGTTCATCGACGGATTACAGTTTACCCAATCAGTCAGTTGGTGTTACAGCTCAACTAGCTAATTGCTTACAGCTGAGATAATTGTCCACAGGGGTTTCTTGTCACCTATCAAAGCTGTCTCTAAGACTCTTCTGCGGTGTTTGGTCCACAGCCTTCCGGGCTTTTATTTAACAGGACAAAGGTTGCAGCATTCCTCAGAGCCTCCTAAGAACCTAGATCCTTGCTTCCTGACTCAGGAGACGCACGACTTTGGGAAGTCTGGCTTCCCCCACCAGCGCTTCTGCACCCTTTCAAGGTGAAACTCGGTGATGTGTGGCTCTACTTGGGTTGACCACGCTGGTCCGAACTTCACTGAGGATAAATCCTTAAGTGTTTAATAAGTGGATTGGACAGACAGCAGGAGCTGAGTTCAGGAGGTGGAAAGCTTGCTGAGACAGAAGGCAGACCCATGTCTGGAAGGCACAGAGGGGAAACACCAGACCTCTGGTATCCAACCTTATCATCCCGCCCAGGGCCGGTGAAATCCGCACATTCTGAGCTATCAAGCATAAAGTGCCAATGAGAGTAGAAGCGGTCAGAGAAGAAAGGTAAGACAAACTGGAAGGATTTCTTGCCTCCCATCTTTTTTTTTAATAACCGTGCAAAAGGCATTTGACAGCAAATAAGAGTTTACAGCTGTTATGGCTACCCGCCGAGATTAAAGGCTACTCTCGGTACTTAGCAGCGCATGTGAAATTACCATGCCTCTCATTTTGTGCATTTTATTCCCTTTTTTTTTTAAACCTCGGTGTGAGACAGTTCCTTGTAGTTGCAGCAAAGTGAGCCAGCAGATTGACTTTCAGTGATAGTACAAAAAAGTTCTGCCTACCTAAGAAAGGAAACAAAAAAGTGTTAAAGTGGTTTAACTTGGTTGGTCCTACATGGAAGTTTCTGCAGGCCTCCTCCAGTGGGAGTTCCTCAAGGCAGTCAATAACCAGAAAATGCCCCGAATTCATGAGGAATTGGCCAAATTCATTCATACAGGCTATGTAAACAAAACTCAGTGAAGTCTCTGAGGCTTGATAAATATTTAACAAAGAAACAAAAACAAAGGAGGAAATTCCAGAAGCAAACACTAGTTGCCAAAAAAGAAGCCACATTTCGCTTCTTTGCCACTATTGAAGCAGCAGTGATTGATGACAGAGTGCTCAATAACAAGCTAAAATGATGCTGGCAGATCCTGAAGTTGTCACAGTTGAGGCCTCAGCATCCCACCATGGTCAGGTCAATCATCATCTTTTATTTGGTGTTTGGCTGTCGAATTCTACAATCTACATTTTCGGTGAAACATTTTTTTTAAGCAAATTTCCAGCAACCCATGATGGTTTCTGAAACAGACTTCTGATCAATACATGTCTTCTATGTAAACATCTTCCAGTGCCTAGCTCTACTTCTAAATCATGCTTGTAGGACCTGCCTCATTTTTCTTCCTTCCCCATCTCTAGAACTACAATTTGACAGAGTAGTAATGCACACTGGATTTAGCAGAGCTACTTTCAGAAGCCAGAATTTTTTTAATAGACTTGTTAACACAAAACTTTGATCCCAAATGACATCAAATTTCAAAACTCAGGAACCTATATTCCTAATTAAAATTAGAGTGGGAAAACCCCAACATCAAAGGACTAGAAGTCCACAAAAAATACATTACCTCTAGAACCTAATTTGACATCTTTCCCTTTCCTGTACATTAAGGACACTGAAAAAAAATGAAAATAAAAAACCAGGATTCTAAATTAAATCTATGATTTCAGTTTATCTGCTGTTGTTGCCTTCAGAGATGTAAATCATATTTTGCACGGGTGCAACTGTAGCAATGCTAGGGTTTGTATGATTTGATCTTATGATTGTATTGTAGACAGGCTCTGTTTTACACTAACCCAATGATGGTTCTTGGTTTCAGACAGAGAGCCACTGTTGTTCCTGAGAGACTCCATGTGCTCTCACTCCTCCCTTTTCTCTTTCTCTGAGCTATTTCTAGCCTCTTTTGTGTCAGAATGCAGACTCCTCGAGTCTGAGAGGAGCCTCAGGCTCTGCTGGTATTGTGTTGGGCCTGTGATGGAGGACATTGCCTGATGGTGATTGCTGTGGCGTCAAGGAGGACACATTTTCCCTTTGTAACTAGTGATTGCTTTCCTTCAATAAGGAGACCAAGTGCTCTTTTGTGGACAGTTGCAGGACTAAGAGTAGACAGAAACCACTGAGGTGGACTGTAGCGCGTAGTGAGGACTGACATAAAACAGTCCCATTTTGATGCGCCATAGCACGGGCAAATAAAACTAGGTTGTGCTAGAGTTGCAGTCTCATAGATGTCCGCAAGGGTCTGCAGGTAGGGTCTTGGTGTGCAGGGTCTGCAGGTAGGGTCTTGGTGTGCAAGGGTCTGCAGGTAGAGTCTTGGTGTGCAAGGTTGCAGAATTTGAGAGTGCTATGGAGTTAAAAATGTTCCTAGGTAATCGAGGGTGTGCCCTTGAAAAGGTTTGGGGGCCCTACCTCTCCCCTCTCTCCCTTTTCCCTCTAGCCTTCCTGGCTCATGATGTGACCACTGGCTCTGATGTGTGCCTTTGACCATTGTCATCAACCATCCTGTTCAGCGACTCATTTTGTATTTGACACTCCAAACCTCAGGCAAGATACACCATTGCTTCTCATCTTAGTTAAGGTTTCTTTCTTTTTTTTTTTTTGTTTGTTTGTTTTTTGTTTTTTCAAGATAGGGTTTCTCTGTATTGTTTTTGAGGCTGTCCTGGGTTTAGCTCTGTAGACCAGGCTGGCCTTGAACTCACAGAAATCTGCCTGCCTCTGCCTCCCGAGTGCTGGGATTAAAGGCGTGCGCCACCAACGCCCAGCCTTAATTAAGGTTTCTTTGCTGTTAGGAGACACCATGACCAAGTTAACTCTTTTTTTTAAATTTTTTCCTTTTTTAAATTTAAATTAGAAACATGCATATTTCAAATGTCAATCCCAGCTCCCCCCCCCTCCCAGCCCCATCCCCACCCTTCCATCCCCAGCCCAATCACCACATCTTTCCCCAGAGAGGGTGAGGCCCTCCTTGGGGGGATCTCCAGAATCTGTCATTTCATCCAGGGCAGAACCTAGGCCTTGCCCCATGTGTCCAGGCTGAGAGAGCATCCCTCCATGTGGAATGGGCTCCTAAAGTTCATTCGTATGACATGGTGAACACTGATCTACTACCCAAGGCCCCAGAGATTTCTGAGGCCTCCTCACTGACGATGCATTCCTTTTGGCCTCTCAGCCATCAGTCTGGGGTTCAAGAGCTCCCCCCTTGAACAGTCAGCTGTCTTTGTGGGTTTCACCAGCATGGTCTTGACACCTTTGTTCATCCCTCCTCCATCTCTGTCACTGGGTTCCAGCGGGTCAGTTCAGTGTTTAGCTATGAGTATCTGTCTCTGCTTCCATCAGTCACTGAATGAAGGTTCTAGGATGTCATATAAGGAAGTCATCAACCTTATCCTTAGGTAGGGGCTATTAATGTAGTCTCTCCCCTATTACTTAGTTTTCCATTTGGTGTTATCCTTGTAGATCTCTGGAAATCTCACTAGTGTCAGCTCTCTCCTTCAAACCACCCCACTCCGTCCCAGTGGAATAGCACAGGTGCTTCCTTCATTGTGGTGTTAGGAATCTAAGGCAACCTGATAGGGCCATGCTTCCTCAGGGCCAAAGTAACTCTCTCCTTGGGTGATGGCCTCTGGAGGATGCATAGATCCTATCCTACTGAGGTACAAAGTGTCTGAATGTACTAGAACCCTGGGTCCAAGTACAGCCTTGGGTATGTTCTCCCCATGCCTAATCCTCAGTTACAGTTGTATAGAATTGGAGAAGTAGTATGATTGCTTTATGCAAAACAGAGAAGGTCAGTAGCCCGTCAAATATTATCTTAGTGACCTAACCTAATCAGTGTCATCTTTCTTGGTTATTAAATGGCAAGAGTCTGGACTTCAGATGAAGATAGATTTCGGTTCAAATTCTGACTCTGACACATAATACATGGGTTATGTACTTTATGTCACATGACCTCAGTGGCCCATTATGGAAATCGGGGAGAAGAATGGCAACATTTTAGAGGCTTATGGGTACTAAACAAGACCAGAGATGTGAGAATCTGAAGTAGCATTAATACCACACATAGATATTCAACTTGAGACTTCCCCACACCAACCCCAGCCTAGCTAAGGTCTAGCTAAGACCCAAGAACAGTCCAGATACTTCCATACAGGCTTTAGTCAAAGCAGAGACATTGGCCTTCCAGTTTGAAGACAGTCACAGAAAACAGAAGTCTATGTATGTTCTAGAAGATGTGGAAGTTTTCTGGATGTCCCTAATACCTGTCGCTCTAATTATTTGCAATCAGTTTGGAGACAGCCATCCTTTCCCCGTGGGTGCAGCAGGCCCAGCGGGATACTCGGTTCCACCTGAAGACAGACACGGGTCTCATGCAGAGTCTCACACGGGGCAGGCAGACAGAAGCCAGGGCTATGCAGAAATGAGTCAGTGTTCCCAAGACAAATGCAACCTGACTCATTACGACAAAGTCACCACGCTGGCACCCCACAGACAAAATGGACTCCACTGAAATGAGTTTCTGTGCAGATTTTTATTTCGGATTCTGACATTTTCCTGCAGTTTGTCTGAAAGTTCTGAAAAAGTAGTTGTATTTTTTTGGCGACATAGAATCCCTTGGAGCACAGGAAGGGAGAGGAGACTTTGCTTGACTGTAGATTTTTCTAGCAGAGGTTGAAAAGTGTTCTTGTGCTCTGAAGAAATACAGCTGACTTACCTTACTCTCCACAAGTAACACCCTTCTTTGCCTTCAACACAAGACGCAGATCATTTGACGGCCTACCAAAGTTCTTCCTCAGCAAACTCTCCTCACAATGAATGCTATGAGGCTTTAGGAAAGTAAAGACTAAAGAATGGAACAGAGGATTTAAGAGAACAGACGGAAGGCTAAAACTGGGTTGATATCCTTCAAGTGTTCATCAGGTCAGCCCAGAACTCATGGAGACAGAAAGCTAAGCTTGTTTGCTCTGTCTCTCCCCCAACCCCCCCATCATGCTCTCTTATTAGTTTTGTTTTGTTTACATTAATTTTTCTGATGAAACTTTTAGCCATTTTTTAACTGAGTTTTTAATTATACAGCAAGGCATAAGTAACTTTTCCTTAAGGAGAAGTAGGACATTCATTTTTTAAAAAGCCAACCATCCCTCTCAAATTTGCTGTTTCTTCCCATGGCACTGAGAAGACGGTGAGTCTCTTTCCACACACAGATAGATAATGCTGTGTTTTCAGAGTCAGGTTCTATGTAAGTAGAACTATACAATACTTGCCACTCTCCAATTTATTTACTCAACAATATTTCATTTATATTTTTTCTCATAAAATTTGGGCATTACTCTCTAATGTGAATATGGTAATTTAAGTAGCCATTCCACTCTCTGTAAGTATGCTGTTCTCAATTTGCTTTTTTAATTTAAAATTAAATTTTTTCCAAAAATTTACACATAAGTACTGTATCCCAATTTGCTTTTATAAA